AAGACTGGATAATAAAAAGATTAAATGGATGATCATGATGATTCAGTCAGATCAGTATCCTTCTCACCAAATGGAAATACTTTTGCTTTTTGTAGTTATAATAACTCCATCGTTTATGGAATATTAAAAATGGAAAAGAAATTTTTCCTTCAGATAGTGGTTCTGAGGTAGAATTATCATAATTTTCAACTCCTATATTTTAAAACAATCAAGATAGTTGTATTTATTTTTATTTTATCTAGTTATATAATATCCTTTTCTTATTATTTCTTAAGAATTGATCCTATAAGCGTAAGGAACTGTAATTCTAAAAGGAGAATTTGCCAATTATTAAGACTATGATTTAAGATCCTTATTGAAATCTAAAAGTAGTATCTATTTGGAAAGTGAATAAGAAGAATAACAAATGAAGGAGAATTGACAAATATTAAAAGAATACAAATATTTCTAATTGCATTCTTTTTTTTTCATTTTTAATTATTTAATATTGTGTCCTTAATTAAAGGAAAATGTTTCAAAGATACTGAATTTTTAATTGATTTTTTTTCATCAAATTTTTATTTTCAACCTTCTTGTATTTTTTTGAAAATTTAAGAAGGATTTAGCTCTAATATCATATTTAAGTATTCTCTAATTAACTCTAAAATAATCAAGAATACTTGAGGGCTTTTTCAATAATTTATTTCTTTTCAAAGAATTATCCAAAAAAAGTAAAAGAAAATTCAGAAAATTTTCCAAAAAATAATTTCCATTCTATTTTACTAAAAAGTTATGGAGTTGAATAAAAAATAAAGTGATTTTAGAATATTAAAACTTATATATAAGTCATATAATTTTTTATAAAAACCACTGAGAAATGAATAAAAAAAGTAAAGGGAAATCTTAAGTATCAAAACTTGTAAATGGTTGGGTTTGCCATAATTTATAACCACATAACAACCTTGTTTTTAATATGGTAGGGATGTTGCAAATTTTGGCTTTAACATGTAATGGAGTAGTGGTTTGGGATTATAGGCATTGAAAAATCTGATGCCATTTTAATCTCCAATTCGAAAAACTCTTAGATATTAATTAAACTAGCTAAAGGAGAAAAAGGTAGAGATAATAATAATTTGAGCATTTTACAATTACTTTAAATGTTATAATTTATAATATTGGCATTATTCTATTATAATTGAAAATAATACTTACATCATTCTCATTAGAAAGTAGGCATAGAAAAAGTGATTAATCACTTTCATTCTTATGATAGAACCTTTTTTGTTTATTTTTGTGTGTGCTGCTGTTATTTTGTCATAAATTAAAATATTAATTTGACAACTCAAAAAATAAAAGCACTAACTACCCATTCATAGGCAAGGCCTTTCTGTAATAAAAAATTGCAACTTAGTTTTATTTTTTAATCACTGCATTTAGATAATTAGGAAATACTTTAGGTTCAATCAGAAGTATTAGTATTTAATTAATTATTTCATTCTGAATTACTATAATAATTTTGATCTGAACTTGTTTTAACCTTGCATGCAAAAATTATTCATATACATTTTAT